CAGCCTCCTGCCCTGGGGTGTGGGCGCAGCTTCATTCCTCTGCTCAGAGAGGGGGCTGAGCATCACCCCCCCTTCCCAGCCACGCCAGCAAGTCCCCTTCCTCTCCAACCCCCCCCCACTCCATTAGTCCTGTCCCTCCTTCCTCCCCATCTCCTCCAACCCCGCACGCCCCTCCTCCAGATTAATGACCCCCATTAGCCACCCCATTGTCCCGTCTTCCTTCTCCTTCCCTCATTGGCTCCCCATTAGCCGCCCCATGTTAATCTCCCCCCCGCCCCCCCCCCCATTAACCCCAGCTCCTCCTGGTCACACCCCACCCTGACTGATCCCATATTAACCCCTTCACCTCCACAGGCCCCACTTGGAAACTCCCCCATCCCATCTCCCATGCTGTATCCATCACCGCCACCCCTAAGGCCCTCCTATCATCTCCTCCATTTCATACACCCCACATAACCCATACCCCCACGCCCTCTTCCCACCCCCACACTATATCCACCACCACCGGCGCCCCGTATAATCTCCTCCTCCACACCGCAACCCCTCCTCTCCTCTGTGCCACACCCCCTCCCTTTTCTACCCCCCATTCCGTATCCACCCCAAGGCCCCCCATAGTTCCCTCCCACATACTGTGCCCCCCTCTCCCCCTACACCGCAGCCCCACCCCCTACATACCCCCATATAACCCCTCCCCCCCACACCGCACCCCCTTCCCATCCCCTGCACTATATCCACCCCACCCCCATACAACCCCTCCCCCCACACCGCACCCTCCCACCTCCCCTACTCACACTTTTCCCACACACCCACGATATCCACCACCACGTAACTCTCTCCTCATGCTAACCCCTTCCCGCCCCCACTATATCCACCAGCATCCCCATAAAAACATATAACTCGCTCCCCACACTGCACCCCCCCACTATATCCACCACTCCCCCATATGACCCCTTCCCCCCCCACACACCTTTCTTGTTCCCCCACTATATCCACCACCCCAATACAACCCCCTCCCCACACACACCCTTTTCCCATCCCCCCATTATCCACCCCCACACAAACATATAACCCCCCTCCCCCCACACTGCCCCCCACTATATCCACCACCAGAGCCCCATACAACCCCCTCCCCCACACACTACCCCCCTTCCCGCCCCCCCACTGTTATCCACCCCCACCCCCCAGAGCCCCATACAACCCCCTCCCCCACACACTACCCCCCTTCCCGCCCCACCACTATTATCCACCCCCACCCCCCAGAGCCCCATACAACCCCCTCCCCCCACACACTACCCCCCTTCCCGCCCCACCACTATTATCCACCCCCACACAGACATATAACCCCCTCCCCCCACACTATATCCACCCCCACCCCCCCAGAGCCCCATACAACCCCCTCCCCCACATACTACCCCCCTTCCCGCCCCCCCACTATTATCCACCCCCACACAGACATATAACCCCCTCCCCCACACTATATCCACCCCCCACCCCCCAGAGCCCCATGCAACCCCCTCCCCCCACACACTACCCCCCTTCCCGCCCCCCCAGCCCCACACCACCCCTCCCCCCACGTAACCTCCTGCCCATCCCCCCTGTTACCTGCGCGCGCGCGGGGCCCGGCCCCTCCCCTAGGACAATGGGCGCCGCTGCCCCGACCCGGCCGCCCCGGCCGCCGCCATCTTACCCCGCTCGGCTCCGTCTCCGGCTCCGGCTCTGCCGCTGCGGCGCCGCGGGGGCCGATGGGAGATGGAGTCCGCCGGCCCTGGCGGGGGGGAGGGGAACTGGGGAACTACGGCTCCCGGCATGCCCCGCGGCCCGCCAGCCGCCCAGGCCGCTCCCCGCCCGCAGCGCGGGGCATGCCGGGAGGTGTAGTCCGCACCCCCCTCACCATGACTCAGGGGCCCGGCGCTTGCCCTTCCCATCAGGCTCCGCGGCCGCCCGCCGCGCGGGGCACCATGGGAGCGTCCCTGTCCCCTCCCGCTCCCCGCGGGGTGGGACTACGTATCCCAGGGAGCTCCGCGCCGCGCCGCCGAGGGGCAGCCTGGGAGAGTCTGAGCTGAGAGGCGCCGGGGGGGGGGGGGACCGATCCCACCATGCCTTGCGGGAGCGCCCGGCGCATCATGGGAGTGGTAGTTTTAACGGTGGTATCGTCCGGGAGTCCGGGTCGAGCCGCAACGTCATCGTAGCGCCGTGACGTCACACCGCCATGGCACCGCGCTGTGACATCATCACCAATACGCTGCTGTGATGTCATCCTCGCCCACCATTACATCATCCGTGGTTACATCCTCCCCTGGGACTCCACCCCCTGATGTCATCACACACACCCCTGCCACACTGTGACATCATCCTCCCGAGACACTGTTGTGATGTCATCCCCAGATGACATCATCTCACAATGACATCAGCCCACCATGATACATGCCCACAGGGCCTCAGTCTTATGAGGTCATCACCCTGTGACCTCACCCCATGACATCATCATGATGCCAACATATCTTGCGACTTTGCTCACCCTGTGACACCACCCCCTTGTGATGTCACACTCTGATGTCATCCCAGCCTGACGCTATCCCCAAGACGTCACCCCCCGGAAAAAACAGCGTCATCCTGCCAGGGCATCCCGAGGGGAACTGCGCGGTCTCTGGCCTGTGCTATGCAGGAGGCGGGTGGCACGAGGGAAGAAGGGTGGATGGAGGGTAGAGGGTGTGGATGGGGAGGGGGGGGCTGGAGGGTGCAGAGTGCATATGGGGGTCGGGGTGGATGGGGAGCGGGGAATGGAGGATGCCACAAAGCATGGAAGGCCCCACAGGACCCCCCAGCTGCTCCCCCACCCCCCATCATGCAGGCGCCACGTGGCCCCTCCATGGAGCCGAGCCCCCAGCATCTGGAGAACCCGGCCCCTCTCGGGGACCGACAGAGCATGAGACTTTGTGCCTTTAGCATTCAGCCCCCGGTCCCTGGGACTCCTGGGCACCCCCCCGCCCCCCCCCCCGTGTGGGCTCCAACCCCCGCCCTTGGGACTGCTGGGGCCAAAGGAGGAGCAGCAGGTTCCTAGCCCCGTTACTGTTCCCCCCACACCCCAGGAGACCCAATGGCAGATACATCACTGGGAGGGGGAGCCCAGGAGAAAGAGGGGGTGCAGGCCGGACGTGGGCATTGCCCCCCAAAATGGGGACTTGGCTGCAGCTGGGAGGGGGGAGAGGGGCAGGTGGGGGGGCAGGGATGATGGAGCCAGGGAGGGGTTGGGGGGGATTAATGTCCCTGCTTGTCCCTGCCCCAGTGGGGGCTCAGTGATGTGGAGGTCCTGGATTGGGGGGAATCAGAGAGATGGGAGACCAGGGGTTACCCATTCCCACCCACTCCAGGCACCCCCATCCCCCTGGTTATAACACACCCCCACCTCCACTAGTGATAGGGTCTGAATCCACCACCACCCCCCGCCCCCGGAAAGGCCAAGTCCTGGAACCCCCAAACCCCGGTAACCCCAAACGCCAGCCTCATCCAGTCCCAGGCCCCCCACACCCCAAGCCTCAAAACCCCCAAAACTCAGCCTGAAAAGCCCCAAGCCTCTTCCCTGGGAAACCCCCTAGCCACAGCCCCCCACTGCCCTGAACCCCATTTTCCTTGAGGGGGTTGAAGCAGGACTCCTGGGTTCCATCCCTGGCTCTGGGAGAGGAGTGGGGTCTAGCAGCTAGAGAGGTGGGGCTGGGAGCCAGGACGCCTGGGTTCTACTCTCCCCCACAATCCCTTTTGGCCCTATCGTGGGGTTTCCCCCTGACCAAGGCCCTACAGCGCTTCGAGGGGGTCCCTGACTCGCCTCCCCCGCATCTCTGGGACTGCGGGGGTAGAGGAATTGGCAGGCAGTTTCCCACCCAGCCCCGCAACAGCTCTGTCCGGCTGCCCCTCCCCCTCCAGGCTCCGGAAAGAGGAGGGCTGCGGGGGGGCGGAGCCCGGGGGGCGGGGGGAACTGAGTCAACTTCCTCAACACACCATATGAAAGGAATGTAGTGAGGTCATGCCCCCCCTTCAGCTCGGCTGGGTCCTTCTGCCTGGGCTGTAACCCCCCCTTCCCTGCACAGGGATATGGGGGGGGTCGATCTGGAGGGGGTGACGATGATGCAGAGGGGGAAAGAGAGAAAAGCAGAAAGAGGGACAATCCCACAAGGACAGAACCCAGGCGTCCTGGCTGCCAGCCCCCGACCCCACTCCCCTCCCAGAGCTGGGGATGGAACCCAGGCGTCCCGGCTGCCAGCCCCCGACCCCACTCCCCTCCCAGAGCTGGGGATGGAACCCAGGCGTCCTGGCTGCCAGCCCCCGACCCCACTCCCCTCCCAGAGCAGGGGATGGAACCCAGGAGTCCTGGCTGCCAGCCCCCGACCCCACTCCCCTCCCAGAGCTGGGGATGGAACCCAGGCGTCCTGGCTGCCAGCCCCCGCCCCCACTCCCCTCCCAGAGCTGGGGATGGAACCCAGGCGTCCTGGCTGCCAGCCCCCGCCCCCACTCCCCTCCCAGAGCAGGGGATGGAACCCAGGCGTCCTGGCTGCCAGCCCCCGACCCCACTCCCCTCCCAGAGCAGGGGATGGAACCCAGGAGTCCTGGCTGCCAGCCCCCGACCCCACTCCCCTCCCAGAGCAGGGGATGGAACCCAGGAGTCCTGGCTGCCAGCCTCCGACCCCACTCCCCTCCCAGAGCAGGGGATGGAACCCAGGAGTCCTGGCTGCCAGCCCCCGACCCCACTCCCCTCCCAGAGCAGGGGATGGAACCCAGGCGTCCTGGCTCGCAGCCCGGGGTTTAAAGGAGTGGGGGTGCACGGTGCGGGGCCTGCTCCCCCCCCCATTCCATCTCGCCCGCGCACCATATAGGGAAGTGGATTTTTGTGAATCGCCCGGCTCCTCATGACTATGCGAGAGACTCATTAGCATAGATTAGCATAAAGCAGGACCCCGCCCCGGTCTGGAGGGCTAGCCGCGGGGGGGGGAGGAATAGCCAGCCATATTCTAGGGACTCCAGCGCATCGCCCGGTCGGACGCGGAGGGGGCGGGGTGGGGGGTGTCCCCCCAAGGATTGAAAACTCCCCGTCCAGGGGGCGCAGGCCCCCCAGCCATGGTCTCCAAAGAGCCGGGGGCGCCCCAGGAGAAATACAAGCTGGTGGTGGTGGGAGGGGGCGGCGTGGGGAAGAGCGCCCTGACCATCCAGTTCATTCAGGTAAGGGGGGGGGCCGGGGCGGCATGGGGGGCTCCCCCCCGCCGGGATACCCCCCCCCCCGGCCGAGATCCCCCCTCCCCCTCCTTCCCTGGGCGGCAAAGTTTCCTTCCTGGAAAAGTTCACGCTGTGGGGAATCCCGGGGGGGGGGAAGGGGATTCGGGAGGCAGGGGTTTTGGGGGGGAGGGGAAGGTGCAGGGGTCCTGGTTCAAGGGGGCAGACCGTGGTGGGACAGGAGAGGGGGCTGAGTGGGGGGACGGGGTGGCCTAGGGGTGGGGGTGCCCTGCCTGCGAGGGGGGAGCAGAGGGTGGTGCGTGTCTGGGGGGGCCAGGGAGCCGGGTGGGGGGGAGAGGACATTCCTATTTCCTTCCCCCACCGCCGTAGTTCAGGGCGGGGAGCGCAGCAGGAATTTGGGGCCTGGAGGGAGGGAGCCGCCCCACCCTCCCGCTGCCCGGCACAGGACTTGGGGTTGGGGGCCCAGAGGCTGCGGGGGGGGGGCAGGAGCAGCCTCCGGGCCCCCACTGGGAGGGAAGGGGGGGCAGGAGCAGCCGCTTGTTCCACGTCCACCAAATCTTCTCTTCTCAAGAACTGGGCGGGGGGGCCTGGGAGCCCGGATTCCTGGGTTCTCTCCCTGGCTCTGGGAGGGGAGTGGGGTCTAGTGGTTAGAGGAGTGGGGCTGGGAGCCAGGACTCCTGGGTTCTCTCCCTGGCTCTGGGAGGGGAGTGGGGTCTAGTGGTTAGAGGAGGGGGGCTGGGAGCCAGGACTCCTGGGTTCTCTCCCTGGTTCTCAGAGCACAGTGGGGGGTCCAGTGGTCAGAGCCGGGGGCAGGGGTTGGAAGCCCGGACTTTTGGGTTCTAATAGGGGCTATAACCCCCCCTTCCCCCCCCCCCCCCAGTCGTACTTTGTCTCGGACTATGACCCCACAATCGAGGACTCCTACACGAAGATTTGCACCATCGATGGGAGCCCGACCCGGCTGGACAGTGAGTGTGTCGGGCGGGGGGGGGGGGCTGGCTTGCACCCCGCTTGCGGGGAGCCCTGACCCAGCCAGGGCAGAGGGACCGAGCCCAGGGACCGACCTGCCCCCACTGTGGGGGAGGCTGCAGAGGTGGGAGAAGTTCTATGGATGGGCAGGGGGGAGGGGAGACTTGCAGGTAGTGGGGAGCGCTGGGAGCCAGGACTCCTGGGTTCTATCCCAGGCTCTGGGAGGGGAGTGGGGTCTAGTGGTTGCAGCGGGCGGGCAGGGGACTGGGAGCTAGGTCTCCTGGGTTCTCTCCCCTACTGGGGGCAGGGAGGGCAGGGCTAGGAGCCCTGGCCCTCAGGCTGTGGGGAAGGCTAACACCCCCCCACACACACACACCCATCTCTGCCCCACAGTCCTGGACACGGCCGGGCAGGAGGAGTTCGGGGCCATGCGGGAGCAGTACATGCGCACGGGGGAGGGGTTCCTGCTCATCTACGCCATCAATGACCGCGGCAGGTAAGGCCCCCCCCCGGAGACCCCTCCCCACTACGACAGCCTCCCTGAACCCCCTCCCATGAGATTCCCCCCCTCCACCCCCGGTGGCCTGGGGCACAGCAGCCCCCCACCCTCAGATCCCTGCTCCCTAACTCCAGCCTCCAGTGGCCCCCGCCCCCGGGTGAGGACCCCCCCCCAGCAGCCCCCCAACCCGCTCTCCATCTCGCCCCCCCTGCAGCTTCACCGAGATCAGCAAGTTCCACACCCAGATCCTGCGCGTCAAGGACCGGGACGACTTTCCCATGATCCTCGTGGGCAACAAGGCTGACCTGGACCTCCAGCGCCAGGTGAGGAGGGGTGGGGCCAGGGGGGTCCCTGGGCTCCGCCCACACTGGGGTGTCCTCATGGGGCCCCAAGGGCCACTGGGCTCACGGCCATCTTGGACGGTGCCCAGACAGGAAGCGCCGGGCCACGGGCCACGCGTGCTCTGTCGGCGGCCATCTTGGACGGTGTCTAGACAGAGCGCACCCCACGGGCCACGTTGCTCTGTGGCGGCCATCTTGGACGGTGCCCAGACAGGAAGCGCCGCCCCACGGGCCACGCGTGCTCTGTCGGCGGCCATCTTGGACGGTGTCTAGACAGGCAGCGCCACCCCACGGGCCACGCTTGCTCTGTCGGCGGCCATCTTGGACAGTGCCCAGACAGGAAGCGCCGGGCCACGCGTGCTCTGTCGGCGGCCATCTTGGACGGTGTCTAGACAGGCAGCGCCACCCCACGGGCCACGCTTGCTCTGTCGGCGGCCATCTTGGACGGTGCCCAGACAGGAAGCGCCACCCCACAGGCCACGCGCGCTCTCTTGGTGGCCATCTTGGACAGTGTCCAGACAGGCAGCACCACCCACCCCACGGGCCACGCTTGCTCTGTCGGCAGCCATCTTGGACGGTGCCCAGACAGGAAGTGCCACTGTCTCTGGTGGCATGGGCTTTCTGATGCCCAGATGCCTGGGTCCCCCGACTGCCCTGGGGTTTTGAGAAGTGCCCAGCTTGCCCCCCAGCCCCCACCAGCTGAATGGATGGAGGAGCTGCTTGTAACCGCCCCCAGGTGCCCAAGGAGGAGGCGCTGGCCTTCGCCCAGGAGAATCGCATCCCCTACATGGAGGCCTCGGCCAAGATCCGCCTCAACGTAGACGAGTCCTTCCATGAGGTCGTCCGGGCCATCAGGTATGGGGGGGGGGGCTCTGACCCACCCAGGATCCCTCCCAGGGGGGCCCATTCCCCCAAGGCCCCTGTAAAATAGGGGAGTGCGCTCTGCAGGATGTGTCCCCAGGGAGACCCCCACCGTGGGGTGATATTTTCCCCCCAGAGTTGTCCCCCACCCCCCACCATGGGGTATTTTCCTACCAAACTTCCCGTGAGATCCCTCCAAATGGGGGTTCAGTCCCCTGACCCCCCCCCACTTAAATCTCAGTGAATTCCCTGGGAAGCCATCAGCCCCCCCAAAAAATGGGGCATGTCCCCCACTGTGGTAACATGGGGTTTGACTCCCTCAGAGATACCCAAAAACAGCAGTTCCCCACCCAGGAATGCCCCTCCTGGGGGTACTCCCTCCCTTTGGGGGGCACCTCCCCCGGTTTGGGCTCTGTTCCTAAGTGTCTCCCCCCCCTTCTCTCTCGCAGAAGGTTCCAGGAGCTGGAGACCCCCCCTGCCCCTACAGTGCACCCCACAACTAAAGAGTCCAACGGCTGCCCCTGCTGCATCCTGTGATGGCCCCCCCCTCAACACTCACCCAGCTGTGCAAGAGGGGGGGAGGAGCGGTATAGTCCATTGCTGATTGTACATATTTATAAATAGGGGACGCAGAGGATGGGGATCCCAGGTGATATTTTGGGGGACAGAAAGGGGGTGGTTTCCCCCTGGTTCGTAGGGGTTGGGCAGTGGTCACCCTGCATTACAGGGTTCGGGGTGGGAGCAGCTCCCCTCAAAGATTTGGGGTGTCAGGGTGGGGACCCCATGACCGAGAGCCTGTAACTGGAGAGTTTGTGGGGTCTCTGTCCAAGTGCCCCCCCCTCCATTGTATGGGGGGCGGGGACACAAGGCCAGGCCCCATTTCAGTTGGGGAAAGGAGAAATGTGACTCCAATTAAGGTACTGGGGGGGGTGGGGTGGACAGATCATGGTGGAGGTGCTGCCCCCCCACCGCAAGGAGTGCGGAGGGTTCCCCAAAGGGCGGAGCTCCTTCCGAAACGTTGGTCTTTTCTATGGCAAATCAAAGCTTTACCGAAAGAGGGGACCCCGGTGTCCGGGGGTGGGGCCACGCTGCATTCTGTAGCCAGAGCCAGCACGAGGATTGGGGCGGGGGTCTGAATAAACGTGTAGACACGGTCGCCAGCTAGTTATCTCACTGATATTTCTATGCACCGCTTTGGGAGGTGGGGGGGGGCGGGTGTAACAACTCATCTCCCCACCCGCTCAGTAGCAGGGAGCTAGGGGCAGGTTTGGCTGCTGGGGGGGGTCCCCCATCTGTAAATACCAAAGCCCCTCCCCCACCAAGCGCATGTTGCATTAAAGTGCCTTAAAGCCAGGGCGGTGTCTGCGTCATTATTGGGGGGGGGTGGGCTGCCCCTTTGAGGGGACTTAGGACAAAGGGGGGGACAGCTGAGGGGGGGGGATGCTGGGTGCAAGTCCTCACCCCCACCCTAGCCCCTCCACTGTGGGGAGGGTGTTGGAATAAAAGCCCCAAGATGCATGGAGGGGAGGCTGAGACAGATTGGGGGCCTCAACCCAGCATCTGGACTCCTGGGTTCTGCTGTGTCCCCTGGGGGGGGCACCAGCTCCCATCCGGCCTCAGACCAGGGGACTGGCTGGGGGGGGACATAGGCCTCTGCAGGAGTGCTGGGGGGGGCTTGAACCTGCCCATATCAGGGTGTACCCCCCAGTAATGCCTTGGGGGGGTTGGGGGTGCTCCTTGCAGTCAATCCAGTGGGCCGATGGAAGGTGGCTGCCCAGTGATTTTTGGGGTGCATGTCTATACCCCCACTTCTGCAGGGAAAGCTGGGGGGCTCTCTTTGGCAGAGAGGAACCTGGCTGCAACATGTCTCCAAAAGCCCCCCGACTTCTCCCCCGCACGCCTGCTGACTGTGGGGTGCGGGGGGGACTCCTTGCAGAGCGTAGTTTGGCCTGGGAATGCCTCCCCCTAAGGCAGCGGGATGGGGGGGGGGAGCGCATGTGTGATCCGGGGGGCGAGAAAACCAGGCGGAGACGCGACTAAACAATAAAAATATATCGGAACATCCATACAGACCACATTCCCGGCCGCAAAACCCACGGACACAGAGTACACAGCGTAAAAAAGAGGGGGCTGGGGGGGCGGCGGGATTGGGGGGAGGGGGGCTTAGAACAAAGGGTTAGCTCCGGGGCAGGGTGGGGGTCTCACAGCTCCCCACGCTTCAGGGTACCTGGTGTTTGGCCAGCTCTGGGGTACCCCACCCCACAAATACAGTTTAGTGCTTTAGCATGGGTTCCAGTATTGGGGGTGTCCTAGCTGTGCCCCCTCCCCGGGGGCTACAGAGCATGGGACTGGGGGCCCCCTCGATGGCCACAGCCCCCTCCCCAGGACACTAGAGACACCAGGGTGCTGGATGGGGGGGGGAATCACCCCAAATTCTCCCCCACCAGGGGTGCTGGAATCCCCTCTCAGCTGGGGGAGAAGGGAGCTGGTTTGGGGCTGTCCCCCCCCACCCTGAGATTTGGGGGTGGCATGGAATATCCCAGGGCCAGCAACAACTGATCCCAAAGGGTCAATAGCAGAAAGGGGGGTGCCCCCAAAAAGGGGGTGAGTCAAGGAATCCCCCCTTTCTCCCCCCCCAAACCCAAGAGGGATCAAAGAATGAATTTTTAAAAAATCCAGCAGGATTTGTTGGGGGGACTCCCTGGGGGCGGGGGCCAGGGGAAGGAGTACAGGACTCCCCCCAAGGGGCAGGGCTCCGATTCAGCTCCCGGTCTAGGGCAACCCCCCTCCCCACAAAGTACCTTGAGTCCCCCCCCCCCCCAGAAAGTGGGGAGGAGGCCACAGGGGCGGGGGGGTCCACAGGCAGCCCATCCCCCCTCCTAGATCTAGTCCACGGGGTGGAGAGAGGCTGCAGAGGGGGTGAGAGGCTGGAAAATGGGGGGTTCTGGGGGGTGGGAAGAGCCCTGACCAAATCTCACTAATCTAGGCTGGATTTTGTATCCAGGGTTAAAAAAATTCAGTTTAGGGTGTGGGGGGGGATTGGGACCTAACCCCCCCCCCCCGCAAATTGTCTATATAATTATTATAATAACGACGCCCCAAAACTCAGACCCCGCCCCCAAAGTTCATCCAAGCTGAAGAAGTTCCCAGCTAAGGGGGGGATGGGGGAGGTCTGGGGGGGCTCCGCGGGGGTGTCCGTTAGCCAAATACAATATGATACATAGACTTTGACCCTATACATTATGTACAAGAAAAATCCGCTGATAAAAAAACAAAACAAAAACACACAACGACAAAAATAACAACCCCCGCCCCGAAAGGGGGACGAACCCCCCCCGGGGCCCCCAAAACACGGCCTAAGAGAAGGATTAAATAGTCATGGGGGGGGTACGTGGAATCTGCCCCCCACCCCCCCTGGGGGAAGCACATGGACTCATTGGCTGCCCCCCCGTGAGTCTCCCCCCCAGATGGGGGGGCTATACTGGGGGGGGCTGGCTCCCCTCCCCTGGGCTTGGCAATAAATAGCTCTGAGTGGGGAACCAGACCACCGCATGGGGGGGGAATTGGGGAGGGGGCCTGGCCATGCCATGGGGGAGGCGGGGGGGGGTTGCCTTCGGTCGCCCCCTGACTAGCCAATTCCCTGCTGCAGGGGGAGGGTGGGCAAAAACGGGGAACCGACGGGACAAAGTGGGTGTGCTAAGCACGGAACCCAGGAGTCCGGGTTCCCAACTCCCCCTGGCCCCAGACTTTGTTCCCCTCCCAGAGCTGGGGAAGGAACCCAGGAGTCCTGGTTCCCTAACCCATCACCCATCCCCTTCTCTCACCAGTCCCCCCTATGCCCTGTGGGCTTCCCCAGCCGCGGGGGTGGGGGGGGCTCCCCCCATCCCCATACAGAGAAAGGAAGCTGCTAAATAGACATTTATACATATATATATAAATAAAATTTCTCTGTATGGGAGGAGGAACCGGGGGGGGGCAGGCCCATAGACCCCAGGGCCACCCTCACCTCTGGGCATGTTCCCCTCCCCCCAGGGCCACAGCCACCCCAAGCCAAGGTGGGTGTGGGGGGGTCTGTCCTGGAGATCACCACCACCGACAGGGGGGTGGGGAGCGGGACCCCCAATGCGCCCCCCCGGGCCCTCGGTCCAAAGCCCTCCCCGGCCCGGGGGGGCGGGGCCTGCGCCGTGGGAGAGGGGGGGTCACGCGCACTTGGTCTGGGCTTGTGTCAGGAGGTCGCTGAAGGAGTCAAAGAGCTTTTCCAGCCAGGGCTGGTTCCGCATGCACTGCTGGACCACCTCCTCCTGGCCCAGGTCCGCGTCCTGCCCCTCGATGGCCGACGTCTGCGGGGAGAGACGCCGTCAGCGGGGGGGGGCGGGCTGGCAGGGGGCTGCAGGGCGGGAGTGAGGGGCACTGGTAGGTCTGGGGCAGGGCAGGGATTGCGGGAGCTGGGGAGGAGGAGTGGGAGGCAGGGCAGGGGGAGGGCAGGCGGGGGGCTGGGGGGGCAGGCGGGGGGGGCTCACCTCGTCCTTGCAGCGCAGGAAGGTGTGATATTTGTAGTGATGGAGGGAATGGTACGGGGTGGGGGGCAGGGGGCAGGCGGGGGGGGCTAGGAGGGGGCAGGCAGGGGCGGGGGGGGGCTGGCAGGGGGCGAGGGGTGGGGGGCCGGGGGGGGCTCACCTCGTCCTTGCAGCGCAGGAAGGTGTGGTATTTGTAGTGATGGAGGGAATGGTACGGGGGTGGGGGGGCGGGGGGCTGGCGGGGGGCTGGCGGGGGGCTGGGGGGGCTCACCTCGTCCTTGCAGCGCAGGAAGGTGTGATATTTGTAGTGATGGAGGGAATGGTACGGGGTGGGGGGGGCGGGGGGCTGGCCGGGGGCTGGGGGGGGGCCGGGGGGGGCTCACCTCGTCCTTGCAGCGCAGGAAGGCGTGGTATTTGTAGTGATGGAGGGAATGGTGGGGGCGGGGGTGGGGGGGCAGGCGGGGGCTGGCGGGGGGCTGGGGGGGGTCCGGGGGGGGGCTCACCTCGTCCTTGCAGCGCAGGAAGGTGTGATATTTGTAGTGATGGAGGGAATGGTACGGGGGGGGGGCGGGCGGGGGGCTGGCGGGGGGGCTGGGGGGGGGCTCACCTCGTCCTTGCAGCGCAGGAAGGTGTGGTATTTGTAGTGATGGAGGGAATGGTACAGGGTGGGGGGCGGGGGGGCAGGCGGGGGGCAGGCGGGGGGGCTGGGGGGGCCGGGGGGCGGGGGGGCTCACCTCGTCCTTGCAGCGCAGGAAGGTGTGATATTTGTAGTGATGGAGGGAATGGTACGGGGTGGGGGGGGGGGGGCGGGGGGGGGGGCAGGCGGGGGCTGGATGGGGGGTGGCAGGGGGGCTGGGGGGGTCCGGGGGGGGCTCACCTCGTCCTTGCAGCGCAGGAAGGTGTGGTATTTGTAGTGATGGAGGGAATGGTGGGGGCGGGGGGCTGGCGGGGGGCAGGCGGGGGGGCGGGGGGCTGGGAGGGGTCCGGGGGGGGCTCACCTCGTCCTTGCAGCGCAGGAAGGTGTGGTATTTGTAGTGATGGAGGGAATGGTAGGGGGGGGGCGGGGGGGCTGGCGGGGGGCAGGCGGGGGGCTGGGGGGGTCCGGGGGGGGCTCACCTCGTCCTTGCAGCGCAGGAAGGTGTGGTATTTGTAGTGATGGAGGGAATGGTACGGGGTGGGGGGCGGGGGGCAGGCGGGGGTGGCGGGGGGGGGGTCCGTGGGGGGCTCACCTCGTCCTTGCAGCGCAGGAAGGTGTGGTATTTGTAGTGATGGAGGGAATGGTACGGGGTGGGGGGGGGGGGGCGGGCGGGGGCAGGCGGGGGCTGGCGGGGGGCTGGGGGGTCCGGGGGGGGGCTCACCTCGTCCTTGCAGCGCAGGAAGGTGTGGTATTTGTAGTGATGGAGGGAATGGTACGGGGTGGGGGGCGGGCGGGGGGCAGGCGGGGGCTGGCGGGGGGCTGGGGGGGTCCGGGGGGGGCTCACCTCGTCCTTGCAGCGCAGGAAGGTGTGGTATTTGTAGTGATGGAGGGAATGGTACGGGGTGGGGGGGGGCGGGGGGCAGGCGGGGGGCTGGCGGGGGGCTGGGGGGGTCCGGGGGGGGCTCACCTCGTCCTTGCAGCGCAGGAAGGTGTGGTATTTGTAGTGATGGAGGGAATGGTACGGGGTGGGGGGCGGGGGGCTGGCGGGGGGCAGGCGGGGGGCTGGGGGGGTCCGGGGGGGGCTCACCTCGTCCTTGCAGCGCAGGAAGGTGTGGTATTTGTAGTGATGGAGGGAATGGTACAGGGTGAAGAAAAATGACTTGTCCACGTCGACCTTGAACTCCTGGGGGGTGAAAGGG